TAATTTTGTGTAGTTTTAGTAAAAATACTGAACCTAATATACATTTAAATTTTCAATTGAATTTTTCTTATATTAAATATTTTAAAATTATATAATGATTTTGGTGGTAAAGGGTACCTTTAACCTTAAACCCACACCAATCCAAACCTATAGTGGGTAGTTAATTTGACACACATACCTGTCCTAAACCCATTTGATCAATACTCAAACTTGTTTTAAATGGATTTTTGAAGGTTAGGTACTCACAAACACTCGCCCTACTTCCATCCCTAACTCTGTTGACATGTCAAAACAACAAAAAGGATTGCAACATACTCAGCACTAGGCATGGCCAAATCACGGTTCATGGAACCGGAACCGCCGGTTCGAACCGGTTCCGAACCGGAACTGGAACCGGTGCGAACCGGAACCGGGACGAAAGCGCGGTTCCGAACCGGAACTGGAACGGTGCGACCCGGAAACCGGGACGAACCGGAACCGGAACCGGACAGATTCCGGTTCCATAGATATTCTTGGAACCAGAACCGGCGGTTCCAGAAAACGCGGCCGGAACGGTTGGAACGCCGGTTCTCCGGCCGGTTAGAACCGCCGTGTTCCGAACCGGTTCGAACCGGCGGTTCTAGCCGTTGTTTAAACTGTCAGCAATTTTGAATTTTTTTTTTTTTTTTTGTAAATTTGTTGATAAAATCTCTTCATTACCCCTCCAACGGCTATATAACGGCTAGTTTTAAGGGTATTTTTGGGAAAAATAATTTTTGGATTTATTATAAATACCTTCATTTTATTTACCAAATTAATTACAAAAAAATCTCAACTCTCTCTAACTTACTTTACTTCCAATATACTACACTTTCTACTTACTCTCCTACAATCTCTCTTATTAAGTTATTATTCTCTCTAATTTTTTTATTCAATTTTTTTATTAAGTTATTATTCTCTCTAATTTTTTTATTCAATTTTCCCAATTATATCTTATTATTGATAAGGATATGTAACTAACTTACAGCTGTTTTTGTTTTTGAATATGTATTTGAATAGCTAGAGCTTATCTATTATAATCTATATATACAAGAGATACAGAAATACAAATCAAGTAATTCATACAATTATATGGTATTAGAGCCTTCTAGGGTTTAATTACCAATGGCCGAAAATTCTGAGTCTTTCTCTGTTCCTAATGTCTCTCAATTTCTTGCATTGAAGCTAACCTCTGCCAATTACCTTTTGTGGAAGAGCCAACTCGAGCCTCTCCTTAATGGCTATAATCTGGCTGACCACGTTTCTGATAATCCTAATCCACCGCCGGAATTGCTAAATAATGCTCCCAATCCCAAGTATCGAATTTGGTTCCAGCAAGATCAGATTGTTTTAAGATTTGAGACAAAACATCCAACAAACATAGGAGTTGATCGGTCTCAACAACAATTTCCGGGTACGCTTCTTAACTTTCTTTATTTAAATATTCTGATAAAATACAAAAAGAAGAATTAGCAAAAATGATTTCTATGGAACATTTATCTTTTAGTTTTTTGGTGAAAAAGTTAGGTTTAATAATTATTGTCAAAAAGCTTTTAAATCCTTGGTGCTAAAAGAGTACCAAGAAATTACTGTAACGAACTTTATTTCCTTTATAATAATAAAAGGAAAAAAAGAGTTAAGATTTTAATTTTCCTCAATTGCAAATTCGTGTTTCAATTTGTTGTGATGTTTGGAGTGATTCATTGGCAAATGCATTCTTACATGGGTATTTACATGTCATTGCCCGATTTGATGATGAATGGAAAATTCAAAAAAGGAATTAATTTGGTTTTTCGTGTTTTTGGATGAATAAACATACTGCAAATAATATTTTATAGAGTAATTTGTTCAATTTAGATGAATAAAAGTTTTGACAAAAAAAACTTTTTTCAATTTCATTTGATAATGCTTCTGCAAATACTAGATAATTATGAACTTAAAAAATTTGTGAACCAAATATTGGTGGTTCAATTTTTTCATATAAGATGTGTCAATGCATGTTTTAAATTTAGGTGTACAAGAAGGTTTTAAAATTTCTTGATTCTTTTTATTTCTTCGCAATTAAAAAAGCTATTTCATATTTATGGACACATCCCCAAGTGATGAAAAGTTTGGCTAAAATTTTTGTAAGAAAATAATAAAAGACCCCAACAACGTTTTCCAAGGGATGTCCCCAACTCGTTGGAACTTCAACAATATGAACTTACTAAACGAGTCTTTTTTCTTATAAAAGAATTATTATGCTTTTTTGGTTCTAATAAATAATTGAGATATAATTTATATTCCACAAAATTGGGGATGTTTGTGCAAAAAATTTTTAGATTTTTAAAAAATTTTTAAATGCGATGCTACCTTTACAAATTTAAGTGGGGTTTTATTATCCCACATTCATTTATTTTTAACCTGTTGTATAAATATTGTTTACTTGCACTCCAAGCATTTTCAAAAATGATGATTTATTACAAGATTGTATTTTTTTCACATGAAAAACAAAAGATGGTTATCTTATTTTAAAAATTAATACCAACCCTCTTTATTAGTTGCTATTGTATTTTGATCCTAGAATTGTAGAATGGATTTTTATTTGAGTTAAATTTGACAATTTTATTATGATGTATTAAATCTTGATGTAGAAATACTGTTAATATAATATAAGTATGCAATGAAGTTTAAACGAAAATATTATGCAATTATATAATGAATTTGTTCAAATTTTCTAGTTCATCTACTTCTACTTGTACTTTCTTTTCTCAAAATCTAATATTTCAAAATTTCCAACACAAAAGGGTAAGTGGTTGTTGGCAATTGCTTAAAAGTTTTACTACAAAGACAAAAAAGAACAAGGGAATCCAGTTCTATTTCTGAATTTGAATAATTATCTAACAACTTCTTTTGGAGTTTGATGATGATTATGCAGAAGACGGATTTTGCAATTTTAGATTGGTGGAGTCGTCACGAAAATTACTTTTCCAATTCTTTCTTTACTTTGCAAAAACAAATTTTAGCAGCTCCGGTCCTCCACTGTTGCGGTTGAACCAAGCTTTAGTCAAGGAGGAAACATACTTTGATGAAACATGCTCTGCGTATGACACCCGATTCATTAGAAGCACAAGCATGCGTGGATGATTGGACCAAGGCCGAACTAAGAGCCCAAGAAAATCCAAAAGAAAATGGATTTATCTGATTTATACGATGGGGTCCTCAACGGGAACATCAACCGGGGGTGGCAAAATAGCGAATAAGGTAAAAGGGGTGAAATTGGTATAAAGGTAAGTAAGAAACTACGTGGGCTTTGATTCCTCTAAACCCAAGAGGAATACGTAGGCAACTTAATTTTTTTAAAATTAAAAAAATTTAAGTTTCAAGCCCATTTTTTTTTAATTATGTTCCAAACATTAAAACAAAAATTCAGTTGAAATTTAAAAAAAAATTATGTCAAATTGTTAAGTCTTAAAAAAAATAAATGGAATTCCAAAGTAATTTTAAATTTTTTTAAGTGTATTTTTTAATTTTTTATGTTTTCCAAAAATTTTTTTAACCCGTCTTCAAAAATTTAAAATTTTTTTTTTATTCTAATTTTTTTAAATTTTTTATGTTGAATTAATTTTTTTTTAAAACCAACCGTTCTTCAAAGATTTAAAATTTTTTTAGGTGGTATTTCAATTTTTTATGTTCAAACAAGAAATTTTTTTAATTTTTTAGGTGTATTTTTCAATTTTTATGTTCAAAAAAAATTTTTTTTAAACCGGTTTTCAAATTTTAAAATGTTAAAATTATGCGATTTCGCAGGAAAACCGATCGTGAACCGTCCGGTTTTTGTAATCGGATGAACCGGAACGGAACCGGATGGTTCCCAAAAACCGGAACCGGGAATCCGGTTAACCGGAACCGGAACCGGTCCTGTACGGTTCGATTCCGGTTCCAGAAAATCTGGAACCGGAACCGCCGGTTCCGGAACCGTGGCCAAGCCTACTCAGCACCACGTTTGCGATTGCAATTAAAATAAATTGTGGGCCACATATTCCTTTTATCTCTCTTGCCCGTGGTTATTCTCTCTCCTGACTATATTGATTTTTCACAGTATCTAAGGGGATTTTGTACTTCGATTTTCATCAATGATGCTTCTCTTAGAAATGACTGAATCTCTTCATTTTATTTTATTCTCTCTCTTTCTTCTTTGTTGTTCTTCCTGGGAAAAGTGGGTTCAGAACCAAGAAGAAGAAAGACATGACAAAAGAAGTAGAGATTGGCTAACGAGGCAAATTTTGCTTAAAAGTCTTGGACTATGGAGCCAAAACTTAACAGTTAAAGCAACTTTGCTTGCTTATGTATTTTTTTCTCTTAATTCTTTATTTTTGGTTGTATGTATGTGGTCCCTGTCTTCTTTTGTGCGTTTATTATGCTTTAAGTGGAGATAAGAAAGTACTTTTTTTTGTTAGTGTATTAAAAAATTACTATATTTTAGGGTTCGGGTTTTTAAATTAAGAAAAAGTTGTTGGTGGGGCTAATGTGGTATTTATTAGGGTTTTTAATATGCAAATTAGGCCGATTATTGGATTTGCATTAAATCTTTTTAATTTGTTTGATAGAAGGATTACGATTTCTTTAGTACACAAATGCGGCCGCTGTTTGTTTGTAATTGCATCGAATATGTTTAATGTTATTGTTTTTATGAAAGATTTGAATATGCAAAAGGGGACTTTAATATTATTAGGGATTATAATCTTTGTTGCCAAGGTACATCAATATTATGTTTGTATTAGGCTGTTTATAAGACACAGTGGCCACTATTTTGTTAGGTTTTACATTATATATTTGAAAATTAAAAAAATGTATGTCTGCATCTATGATTTGATATGCAAATGGGGAATTTAATATTAGGTATTGTAATATTTGTTGCCATTTTTTTTTTTTTTTTTTTTTTTTTTTTTGTTTTGCCATTTTTTTTTTTGTTTTTTTTTTTTTTTTTTTTTGCATTTGTGTTTTTTTTTTTTTTTTTTTTTTTTTGCATTTGTGTGCCTTTTGCATTGTTGATGTCGAAGACCTTGAAGGTGAACAAGTTTATCGGCATATTTTGCCAAAAAAAATCAATACTTTCTTTCTCATTGTCAGTCAACAACCTTTCTTCATGAAAGAATCGAGCATCAATGGACCACTTAACCCCACACCAAATCCCTTTGAATTCTTAACAATAAAATAAATTCTATTTCCATCTCCCTTTTAGAGAGCTTAATGCATATAGAGCGCTAACGACATAAGGAGAGAATTCAAGGTTGGCCTGGCAAGTTAAAATGCTATAACCTAAAACTATCCTGATACTATTTGGGGCGAGTTGAGACATGGTGATGCCTAGGTGATTGAGATACTCATATAGGTCCCCTTGAAGAGGAAGGCGAATGCTAAATCTCAAGTCTTCTTTATATAAAACTAAAAAGTCCTAGCTCTACTGCTACCCACAGTGAAAAGCTCAAATTCATCTGGAATAGGATGCTTTTACTTTAATCTTCCCATATCCCCTTCCTCTAAAATAGAACCTAACAGAGCAAGCTTATTCTCTCTTTGAGGAACAAAATTTTTCCTTGGTGATTACCAGATGCTGATTCTTCCAGGAGCCGCCTGAGAAGCTTAGCTAGCAGCTTCCACGGCGGCCAAGCGGCGACTGGAAGGAAAGCCACCAGATCTTGTAGCCTCGAAACTAGAAGAATCAGAGGAATTGGCCTCAATAATGATGGTTTTCCAGTTTCTTGAATGAGGAACAGAAGAACTCATTTTCAACAAAAGGAAAAATGAAGAAGCAGTTACCTTTGAAAGATGCCTGAAAATTTGAGCTTATAGCTTGAAGAGGAAAAGTTGAGAGACACCTTAATGAGTTTCAAGAAAGCGAGAAGACATGCCTTAATGAGTGTAAAATTAAATGAAGGGTGTGTCGCTCAACACGCTTTGAAAGCTTCAAAAGTCACATAAATTAAAAGTGAAACTTTAATTGATGACTAGAACTGGAAAGGTGTACAACTTTTCAAAATCAACTTTGACAACTAATAGTTAGGGCACATGTGTACGAATTACGCAAGCTTGGTCAAATCTTGCAGTAGCATAAAGCCAAACATAAATGTTCAGTACCTTTTTTTTTGTTTTTTGGGGGGGGGGACTTTTGATGGAAGATTTCCCATAAATCGACTGAGTGTTACTTAAACTAATTCAAATTAAGTAATGCTCGGTCACAGGATCACTTTATTATGTAATTAATATCCGAAATTATCATTGGGTATTTATTATTTTGACTCTTATTTAGAACAGTTGGAAATACTATAATACTTGTATTGAATCTCAATGGAGGATATACTCTTATGTATTAAATCTTTTCAATTTTTTTCAAATTCTAATCATCTTTCTACTTCTATCAGGAAGCAAGGAGAGAGCCTTAAGAGGATTATTACTTATTGTAATTGAATGAGATAGATTGATATTGTGTACTTGAGTAGTAGGAAATTTATACAAAGGTAGAAAGGCTCTTGATTAGAATTGTAGTTGAAATCCTTATTGGATATTATATATATAGTCTCAGCTTGTCTACGTGGAGGATTAGGAATCCTAACACCCTCCAGATTCTCTGTAATATATTCTTCCATATATAAAATATAATTAGGTGAAAGCCCGCGCATTGCGCAAATTGTTTTATTATTATATATTTTACTTTATAATCTATAATAATTTATAATTTATTATAATTTATAAATTATTTCTAATACATTTATATTATTTTATGATCTAAATTTTAGGAATTACTGTTTTGGATTACAAAAATTTTAATTATTCTCACCCCTTTGCTAACATGTGCATCTACAGCAGTCATCATAGGAATACACTTGTTTGTTTGATTAATAAAAAAATCTAAGCTTTTCTAATAATATTTTTATTGTCAAAAAAATTACATTTCTCTTTTGACTTCATTGTTTTAGGATTAATGTTCTTTTTCCTTTTCTTTCTTAGATTAAGGTTATACAACTTGATGATGTTATGATGAAATTCAGATTCTACTGTTAGATAGTCGATAAAAACATTATACACCGACAAACTTTCCATCATCTAAAATATTAAATAATGCTAAAAAAAGCACAACAAAGTAGGATCTAAAATTTCTATTTAATATCTTTGATCAAATACAACTCTATAATAAAAATGATCAAATATAGCGAATTCATGCTAACAATTTAAGACACTAATTAAATCATGTTAAGATTATTAATTCAAGCAGCTCTATCAGTAACAATTTCCTTGTGAAGATCTTTTCATGACTTTATTTCCTCCTGCAATAAAAATCAAAAAAGAAGAGTAATAACCTAAATACATAGAGAACTAAACATACCCAGTAAATGCTTCACTTTATTGATCCGTAAATTCCCAAACAAAAAATGCCACTCGAAGAAAAACGAAATCAAAAGGAGGATAGTTGTTGATACCAAGGGAGGTTAAAAATATTCAAGAGGAGAATAAAATAGGTAATTTAGAAACTTTTTTTGAATATTGAAATAGCTTGCAACTTATCCCGAGGGATAGTGTTATACTCTTTAGTGCCTTATTATGAAAGGCAATAGCTAACATCTTTAAAATATTTATATATAGATATAAATAAATAAGATCAAATTTCAAAATTGAATTTAAATTAAATTAACTTATTTTAAGATTAGATTTCAAAATTGAATTTAAGTTAAATTTCAAAATTGAATTAACTTATTGTCACGACCCGTTTCCATTGCCGGACCGGCACTAGGGCCTAGGTAAGATTAAGGCCCCCAACGCCCGTAGTAAACCTAATTACATAATTCAACTATATCAATGTAAATTTCAAGCATTAAACCCATATTGCTATGCATAATAAGTCACATATTTATATTATATTTTTAGTACAAATCTAACATCTTATACAATTTTATAGCTCCGACCCAACTATAATACAATACATTCATAATGTGGGCTAACAGATTCAAACATTCTCGTAAATGATTGTTTAAACATCCCCATCAGTTTATTGATTTTATTCCTACAACTGCGGAGCTCGCTAACAGATAAACATAGACAAGTTTTAATACATATAGCTATATAATTTAAATAACATTTAAATAACTACTAACTGTAAAAGTTGTCTAGCTCTGCAGGAAAGAGACAGAGCTTTAACTGGAACACGGATAATTTAAATAACATTTAAATAACTACTAACTGTAAAAGTTGTTCTAGCTCTGCAGGAAAGAGACAGAGCTTTAACTGGAACCAACGGAATTATTCTATTCCTAAGAAAAGTAAGCAATGTAAGCAATGACATGTGAGTTTATAAGGAATAATAATTATTGCACGCACATGCATTCACACGAATATGAAAATATATCAATCTAGTCATCCGACTACTTATATGGTCATGCAGACAATCACACAATTGACATAGCAACAACACTCTCAAGTATTAACACCTTCACACAACATCACATCGAAATTGGTCTGTGTCGTCACCGAAACCCCCGATGAGCCGTCCTCCCACATGGTCCGTCCTCTCATGACGTGTGTACCAGGGAGTTGATCCCCCATACACGGCCGACCGGTCTAATCCTCATTTAACCAGCCCTCTCATTTCTTTTATACTCTCTTTTTTTTTCAATACCAAAATGAGGCCGCCCTATGGTTTTCCAAATCATCCATACCATATCATCAAGTATCACCCATATCTTATCATCAGGTGCACACGAGAGCGCCGATCTCTCTATACCTGACCGACGGTCAAATTCTATATTTTTATTATTTTCATGACCGTCCTCACAAACCCATGGTGACCTACTTCCACTTCATCACAATTCCACCCAAACAAAGCATAGCAATGCCACAAATAATCAAACATTGTAATTACATGTAAGCATATCAAGTAATTAAATATCATAATGCAGGTGCACAATTAGACATTCATATTCAAATACAAATAATTACAAGAGTATTAATTAACAATATAATATAGTAATTGATTTTAGGAAAATAAATAAATAAATAAATAATGATAAGAATAAATAACTAACAAGAAAAATAAAAATAAAAATAAAACTTTATTTTAAAAATATCAAGTTAAAGAATTAATCTAAATAAACCTATTAACTTAATTATTAAATATGATCAACCTGGATTATATCGATTTCGGCAGAACCTTCCCTAAAAATTGGATTAATCCGCAATTCAATAGCAAATTTTCAAAGCCCATCCATTGGGCAATTCGCAACAACTAAATCATCCGCCATAACCATATTCATCAATCATTCATCACACACACATATACGCACTTAATAATTCCAAACCAATTAATTAACAAATTATATTAACCTCCGAACATTTTTCAATGATATTATTAATTGTTCTATAACTAATTACCAAATAACTAAACAATTTATAAATAAAACTGGTTTCGACAAGTTAAGTATAGCTACTCTCATTTGATAATTTCTAGACTTCTAATCATTAAAAAACTTCTCATTACGGATTTACTTATTCATCCTTACTCCACGTATAAACCTCATTTACTTATGCATTTATTAAAAATTCTATACTAGCTACCAAGAACCAATCTCGTTAAAGCTTTCACCCCTTAGAAATCCTAAATTCTAACTTAAACTCATAGCTTAGCATATATAATATCTATATCTTACTTACCTAAATTCTAACTTAAACTCATAGCTTAGCATATATAATATCTATATCTTACTTACTTGTCTAAGCCTTAGATTATAACTCTCTCTAAAAATATTTATTAAAATTCCTAAGTTAACTTGCATAATTATTAGCCAAGAATTCTCATTTCAACTTCAAATCTTCTAATTATAATTAATGTTCATGAAATATATTTAGCAATATTCAAAATTAATTTGCGTCTTACAATAGTCCAACTAACTAATTGCTAACAAGAATTATATCTAATTAATTATTTGTTTGAATTCAATTTAATCATCTATTAGTTTTAAAATTGAAATTTATACTAAAAATGGGAAAATAGGTCTTGGGGCGTACCGAGAATTGAACGACGTTTCCACGATCTGCATGAAGAGAGAAGGATTCTGCCTCCTTGGACCCACCGGAGTGTCGCAAGCCGGTTGCCGGACCGCCACTGCCGCCATCATGCACGGTGGTCGAAAGATCGGGCTTCACTGGAATTGGGCGGATCTTACACCATTTGACTCAGTTTTCTGTCAGGAGTCCATTTTTGGTGTTAGTTGCACGAGATCAGTCCCCTAACTGGCCGAAACGGACTCGACGATAGCCTAGTGCGCGTTAATGGCGCTGTCCATCGAAACGGAGGAACCGCAGCTCACCTGCGCAGCAGCAGTCACTGGAGCTGCTAACGGAGAGGAGACGCGACCTAAGTGAGGCAGTTGGTGGCGGAGCTCGGGAGGAGCAGCAATCGAAATCTACAATCGCAGCTTGCCTCTGCTACGTCCACCGAGAGCAGAAACGGTGGGAGGCGAGAAGGGTGGTTATGGCGCGGCAACGAGAAGATGGTGAGCTCGATTGTCTCAGGTGGCCGGAGCTAGAGGGAAGGAGAGAGAAGGAGGGGGTGTGTCGCCGGAGAAGAAGAAGAGAAGGAAAGAAAAAGAAAGGAAGGGAAAATCTAGAGCTAGACCATTCCAGTTCGATTCGAATCGATTTGGTCTGATTCAGTGATTTTATTCGATTTTTGATTGGTTTACAGATTTTTCACTTGGTTTTTGAGAATTTCAAACTGGTTTATAGGTCCGGTTAATTAATTTTAATTGACTTAATATTTAACGCCCAATATAATTCTTAAGAAGTTTAGAAAATTCTCGGTTAGGAGTTGCAATATTATATTTTGGGCTTGGGCCCAACTCGCAAATTTAGACGCGGACAAGATTATATAGTATTTGCAGCCCACACAGTCAAAATTTTTGATTTTTGATTTAATAAAAATTCAAAATTTTCGAAAATAAAATTAGCAGGGTGTTTCACTTATTTTCTATCCCTTTACTAAATATTATATTAGATTAAAATTGCAAAAGAAAAAAAGAAAAAATTCAAAAAGTTATTAAAAAATCAGAAAATTTAT